TTCTATTATATATATATTCCACATTTTGTTTATCTGTTCATCCATTGGTGAAAACTTGGGTTGTTTCTACCTTTTAGGTTACTGTGAATAATGCTGCAATGAATATTAGTGCACAAGTATCTGTATGAGTCCCTGCTTTCAAATCATTTGGGTATATACCTAGGAGTGAAATTGTACACTTGTGTGGTAACTTTTAAATTAACTTTTTAAGGAACTGCAAAACTGTTTCCACAGCTGCTGCACCATTATATTCCTACCAGCAATGGATGAGGGTTTCAGTTTTTCCACATCTTCCTCAACACTTGTTACTTTATTTTTTTGATAATAGCCGTTCTAGTGAGTGTGAAGTGATATCTCACTGTGGTTTTAATTTACATTTCTCTAATGACTAATGACTATTGAGCATCTTTTCATGTGCTTATTGGCCATTTGTATGTTTTCTTTGGTGAAATGTCTGTTAAGTCTTTTGCCCATTTTTTAATTGGGTTGTCTTTTTGTTGTTGAGTTGTAGGAGATCATTATGTATTTTGTTCTCAGCCTTTCTTTGTCTTTCATGACGTTGGTATTTTTTTAAGAGTATTAATCTCTTATTTTGCATAATGTTCCTCAGTTTGGGTTTATCTGATATTCATCTTGATTATATTCAGGTTATGCACATTTAAGAGCCTTGGTGGCACAGTGGTTAAGAGCTTGGCTGCTAGCAATAGGTTGGCAGTTCGAAGCCACCAGCCGCTCCTTGGAAACCCTATGGGGGCAGTTCTACTCTGATCTATAGGGTCGCTATGAGTTGGAGTCAACTCGACGGCAGTGGGTTTGGTTTTTTTTTCATGTACATTTGGCAAGAATAGTACAGAAGTGATGTTGTACCCTTCTCAGTGCATCATATCAGGAGGTACTTAATGTCAATATGTCTCATCACTGGGGATATTGAAGTGGGTCTTCCAGGTTTTTCCGCTGTGCAGTCATTATTTTCCTCTTTGTATTTAATAAAGACCATCATCTTTTGTCATTTATGTGTGTGTTGTTGTTTGGTGTCATTGAGTCAGTTCCGACACATAGTGACCCTGTGTATAACAGAATGAAACACTGCCCAGTCCTGCACCATACTCACAGTCATTGCCAGGTCTGAGCTCATGGTTGCAGCCACTGTGTCAATCCCTCTCGTTGAGGGTCTTCCTCTTTTTCACTGACCTTCTACTTTACCACGCGTGATATCCTTCTCCAGGGACTGATCCCTCTTGACAACATGTCCAAAGTACAGGAGACGAAGTCTCGCTATCCTCACTTCTAAGGAGCAGTCTGGCTGTACTTCTTCCAAGACAGGCTTGTGCGTTCTTCTGGCAGTCCATGGCATAGTCAATATTCTTTGCCAACACCGCAATTCAAAGGCATCAATTCTTCTTCCATCTTCCTTATTCGTTGTCCAGCTTTCACATGCATATGAGGTGATTGAAAACACCATGGCTTGGGTCAGGCACACCTTAGTCCTTAAAGTGACATTTTTGCTTTTTGACACTTGGAAAGAGGTCTTTTGCAGCAGATTTGCCCAATGCAATACGTCGTTTGATTTCTTGACTGCTACTTCCATGGGTGCTGATTGTGAAGCCAAGTAAAAAAGAAATTCGTGACAACTTCAATCTTTTCTTTGTTTATCATGATGTTTATTGGTCCAGTTGTGCGGATTTTTGTTTTCTTTATGTTGAGGTGTAATCTATACTGAAGACTGTAGTCTTTGATCTTCATCAGTAAGTGCTTCAAGTCCTCTTCGCTTTCAGCAAGCAAGATTGTGTCATTTTCATATTGCAGGTTCTTAATGAATCTTCCACCAATCCTGATGCCCTGTTCCTTTTCATATAGTCTGGCTTCTTGGATTATTTGCTTAGCATACAGATTGAATGAGTGTGGTGAGAGGATACAACCTCGTTGCATACGTTTCCTGTCTTTAAACCACTCAGTATCCCCTTTTTCTGTTTGAATGACTGCTGCTTGATCTATGTACAGATTCCTCATGAGCACAATTAAGTGTTCTGGAATTCCCATTCTTCACAATGTTATCCGTGATTTGTTATGATCTACACAGTTAAATGCCTTTGCATAGCCAATAAAACACAGGTAAACATCTTTCTGATATTCTCTGCTTTCAACCAAGATCCATCTGACATCAGCAATGATATCCCTCATTCCACGTTCTCTTCTGGATCTGGCTTGACTTTCTGGCAGTTCCCTGTCTATGTACTACTGCAACCGTTTTTGAATGATCTTCAGCAAAATTTTACTTGCATGTGATATTAATGGTATTGTTTAATAATTTTCACATTCTGTGGGATCACCTTTCTTTGAAATGAGCATAAATATGAATCTCTTCCAGTCGGTTGACCAGGTAGCTATCTTCCAAATTTCTTGGCATAGATTAGTGGGCACCACCAGTGCTGCACCTGTTTCTTGAAACATCTCAGTTGGTGTTACATCAATTCCTGGAGCCTTGTTTTTCACCAATGCCTTCAGTGCAGCTTGGACTTCTTCCTTCAGCACCATTGGTTCTTGATCATATGATAGCTCCTGAAATGGTTTAACATTGACCAATTCTTTTTGGTACAGTGACTCTGTGTATTCGTTCCATCTTCTTCTGATGCTTCCTGTGTAGCTGAGTATATTGGGGACTGACTATATAGCTGGGAGTTCTTCAAATTAACTTTCATGTAGAGTGCATTGTTTATTAAAGGAAGAGTAATAAAAATGTGCTAATTTGAAGCATATATACAGGATTATTATAAAAATTATGTATATAAATATGTACATATATATGATTATTATTGAAACTCCATAGTAACTGCAGTAATAATTTAGAACCTAGATCAATAAAAGAATTTTTTGTGGGGAAGAGAACAAGTATTTTACCACAGATATTGTTTAGAACTGTTAACACATGATAATAATAAAAAGATGCCTTTTAATCAGTTTTAAGTTCTCTGCAATTTGCTTCCTTAATGCCTGCTCTTGGGGAAGACCATTCCTACTGGTCCACCATTGGTACTTTACTGCTAAACTTGTTCTTACTTCAGGCTTTTTCATCCTCTGTCCCCTCTGCTTGGAACTCTCAGTCCTTATATCTTTGCATGATTGACTTTTTCTTGCTGTTCAAGACTCAGCTGATAATGTTACTTCCTCAGTAAGACTTTCTGTGACTGTGCCTCAAATTAATTTTTAGCCCATCAACCTGCTTTATTTCCTTGAGACCATTTATTTTTGTCTGAAATAACCTTGTTTATTTATGATTATTAGCTCTTTCAACCACTAGAATGTGCATGCTACAAATGCAGGGACCTTGTCTTTCTTTTTCTCAGCTGTGCTTCTACTACTTAGAAATTTTCTGAGAACTTAACTGTTCAAGAAATTATTAAATGACTGCATAAATGAATATCCTTGGCTATTGATCTGTTGCATAGTTGCTCTGGTATTTTGTCATTTACTTTGCATTTGTGCGAACTTCTCAAGTTGGCTTTCCATTTATTCATTTTTTTATCACATTGATCCTCCCCTCAGTCCACGATGCTGTTTTGATGGGACTGCTAATTGTAGCATCCCATTCTTGGGCCATAGTGATGGGCATGTGACTGTTTAAAGTTGGGCCAATCAGAGTCATTCTCCTGGATATTTCAAATTTGAACAAAGGAAGAGTGTGGCAGAGTGTAAGAGGTGAGTCTGGAGCTACTGGTGGCCATACTCATGTCCATATAGAAGATGTCAATCTGAAAGAGGAGAAAACAAAGACTGTGGGCAGAGGGAAGCAGAGATGGGAGAGGGAAAAAGCCCTGAAGGTTTTCCAACCTCTGGTTCCTGCATACCTGAGGCCCAGTGGATCTTTAGGGATTTCTAGTTTATTTTTGAAAGAATGCTTGGGAAGTCATGAGATGTTTGTATGAGTTGGTCCCAAGTTGTGGACAAAGTGATTTCCTCTATCATTTCTTATGGGAGAGGGTTGAGAATAGTAATAATAACACCACCTTATATTTGAATGAGTAATAGGTGACAGAGTACTTTTATATCTGTGAAGTAGACTAGACGATATGCTTGCGCTGCTTTTCAGAAAGCAAACTCAGGCCCAGAGAGATCACCTGACTGGCTCAAAGTCACACCGATGGTTAAGGGTCAAGCCATCAGTAGGACCCTGGTCCTCTACTCATGCTCTGTCACTATTAATGGCTAATTGTTTTGCAAGATATTATGTTAAAAGAAAGCCAATTGCCCCTCCTTGTCCCACCTCAATTCCATCCCTCTAAGATAATATATTAACAATGTTGTGGTGAATTTTCTGTCTCTGTCTATCCATCTAGCTACCTATGTTATTTCTCTATCTACTTCTCTATAATGGCTTATTATCCCCTATGCTTTACAGATTTTGAATCATGCTATGCATATTACTTTAAATCTTTAACCATATGTCACAGTCATACTTCTAGGTCAATACATCTAGATCTAATTCATTCTTCTTCTTTGTATGGCTATATTGTTTAATTTATTACAAGGAGTATGTATTGCTTTTGAAAGGAAAATCCAATAGTGTATTCTAAAAAAGTAAAAATATAATACCAATGTATTTTTATTACATATTAATAATTTATTTACCTTGTAACATATAGGAAAACCAAACCAAACAAAGCAACCAAACCTGTTGCCGTCGAGTCCCTTCTGACTCATAGCGACCCTATAGGACAGAGTAGAACTGCCCCGTAGGGTTTCCAAGGAGTGGCTGATAGATTCGAACTGCTGACCTTTTGGTTAGCAGCTGAGCTCTTAACCACTGTGCCACCAGGGCTCCAATATATAGGAAAAGGAGTATATTTATTGACAATTCTATTGAAACTTAGGTTTCCCTCTTTATTTGCTACAAGATTTTTTGCTTTGCACACATTTTCACTTTTTTCTTAATTTCCCTTGGAATAAAAATTAATTGTAGCCTTAATATTTCATTTTCTAAGCAAATTCAATGTATTTTTCAGGTTACTATATCCGGGAAAAGTCTAAGCAAGTCATAACGCTGCTGATGGATGAACAATTGCTGCATAAAGAGAGGGAAGTAGCATGTCAGACTAGACGGCGTACCTCCTACTCTGTGACATTTCCTAAAAGATTACCTGGTAGAGGTAACTCGCCAACTGCATGTGCTTCTGCCCCTACACCAGAAATTCCTGCTTCTAAGAACAAGCATAAGCTTCTTAAGGTTGCAAGGCTGCGTAAAAGTGCGTATAATGAACACTGGCCTAAAATGCAATGGATATCATTTAAGAACAATTAAAAATATAAAAATATTACATTTTAGTGCTAAATTATTAAGACTATATTAGTACTAGTATTCCTATGTTAGATTTTATACTGTAGAGAACAAAGATGATGAAGAATATTCAGTAGAAAATTTTATGACTGTTTTCTGAATGGAATGATCTAGGATTCAAATACAATTTGTTTTTTAACTTGGAAGGTACTACACTAGCAACTGGCATGTTTCGCATCATGATTCAATTTTAATATTTTAATCATAAAATTATTTTCTGAGACCAGGGTTTTGGGTATGTGTGCATTTGCACTATTTGATCCTACTGATCAAGAAACTGAAATTTTCTAAAATGTGCCTCAAAATTCTAAAACTGCTATAATATTCTTCTAGGGCAATACCTTGAGTTACATGACCCTTTCCTTGCCTCAAACTTTAAATATGGACTACTAAACTTTTTAAAAAAGTGATTTATTTCTAATTTTATAATGGAAATCAGCAGAAAAATGAAATTATCTTTTCTACTAAGTTTGCTACAACATAAATCAATGTCATTTGGCCCTAATTTCTCCAGTGCAGACCCGGTCAATAAGTTGTGTATAAGGAATAGACAGCTTGAAGAAGCCAAAGCACTATGAAATGTGACTTGGATAACTCTCCCTTGAAATGAACTTCACCAGTGTAGCTTTGCGCCATGAGTGAGGTGCACAGCAGAGCTAATATTCTGTCCAAATACTGTCTTAGCTCTCCAGTACTGCTATAACAGAAATACCACAAGCAGGTGTCTTAAACAAACAGGAGTTTATTTTCTTACAGTTTAGGAGGCTAGAAGTGCAAATTCAGAGCACTAGCTCTAGCAGAAGACTTCCTTTTTCTGTCAGCTCTGGAGGAAGACCCTTGTCTCCTTTTAACAACATCTGTGGGCCTGGCATTCTTTGGACATCTCCATGTCTCTTGGCATCAATCTTCCCCTGGGTCTGGGAGGTTCTCAGCACAGGGACCCTGAGTCCAAAGGATGTGCTGTGCTTCCAGCTCTTCTTTCTTGGTGGTAGGAGGTCCTTCTCCTCTGCTCGATTTTCCCTCCTTTTTTCTCTTTTAAGATAAAAGGTGTGACTCAAGCAAAGGTGTGACTTGAGTAAGGGTGTGACTTAAGTAAGGATATGACTTAACTAAGGGTGTATTATTGACATTGTCTTGTTATCTAGTGCTACTATAACAGAAATACCACAAGTGGTTGGCTTAAACAAACAGGAAAATTATTTTCTCACAGTTTAGGAGGCTGATATAGTTAGTTATTTTCAGAGGCTTATCTCCTGACTTTTTCCTGGACTCTAGTGAGAGAACTGAAGGCCAATATGAATAGATATTTCCAAACATCAGTTAACTGTGGAAATTAAAAACTGTTAATAGTTGATACCAACACAAGCTAATCATGCTCAAAATCATTAAGTACTTCTCCAATTTAGTCAAGAATTCTCAGCTGTTCACTCAATATGTATCTAGTGGACCACCGGGGAGATAAAAAGATAGTAAAAAGCGGTGACCATTGTTATTTTAGTAGTAAACTAGCACCCTTGTGTACTTTAGTGCTTCTAAAAGTAGTGGAGTCCCTTTCTTTTGGGTATCTATTTCTTTTGAAATAAATCTCCAAAAGACGCAGAGACCCGTTCTAAAATTTTCTCCTGGAAGCCTTTAATTCAAACTGACACTAAAATAAACCATTTAAAACAACCAGTTATGACTCATCCAGAATTTCTCCCCTTTCCCTACTTCTCTGTTACCTTTCTGCTCTTCCTTTTCCCTTTTTCTTTCTCTCTTTTTCGTTATAACATATAATTATTAAATTTTATTATTTGAAATTTGGATATGTAGTAGAAATTTGGAGCCACAACAGTGAATAAAACAGCTAAGATGCCTGCCATCATGGAGGTAACATTTTCATGACAGAGATAGATACACACATAAGATAGATATAAAATATAATGCCTCATAGTGATAAGTCCTTTAAAGGAAAGAAAAGCAGGGTCAGCGGATAGAGACTGACAGGGGATGGCTTTATTTTAGGTTAGGTAGTGTCTTAGGCTGGGTTCTCTAGAGAAGCGAAACCAGTGAAGCATATATACGTGTGTAAATATATATATATTTATATCAAGGAAATGGCTCATGCGATTGTAGAGGCTGGAATGTCCTAAGCCTGTGGATCAGGATAGAGGCTTCTCCTGATTCACATAGTCACAGGGGCTGGCGAACCCAAGATCAGCAGGTTGGAGAGCAGGGCTCTTGTTCACAGGCTGTGAAGATCGATGAATCCCAAGATTGACAGGCAAGCCTGCCAAGTCTTCTCCTGATTCATGTAGCTGCAGGGGCTGGTGAACCCAAGACTGGCACATCAGAGAGCAGGGCTCTTGCTCACAGGCTGTGAAGATCAGTGAATCCTAAGATCAGCAGATAAGCTGCTAGCTCAATTCCCAAGAACCGGAGTTCAGATGAACAGGAGGCAGCTGCAGGATCCAGAGCAGGCAAAAGCCAAAACATCCACTTTCATTCAGACGCAGGCCACACACCCAAGGAAACTCCCTTTCAACTGATTGGCTGCTCATAGCAGATCCCATCATTGGGGTGATCACATATAAACACTGAGAATCATGTCCCAGCAAAGTTGACATACAATCTTAACCATCACAGGTAGTGCGGGAAAGGCTTTTGGAGAAGGAGAATCTTTAAGCAGAGACCTGAAGGAAGCGAGGGAGCAAGCTGTGTATATCTGGGGTGTTCCAGGGAGGAATAGAGGTGCAAATGCTCTGGAACTGGATAAGGTTATCATGCTTAATTATAAGCCCCTGGAATGAGTCCCTAAATCACTACAGAAGTCATTTTTATGGTTCATATAAGAAAATCTAGTTTATTGCTTTATAGTCACAACATTTTTTTAAATGCAAAATGTTATTCTTCAGCTTGATCGCACATCTTATTCACTAGACTAAGCTTTGAATGACTTTTAACTATTTAAAAAATCAATCAACCTTCAAATGAAGAAATTTTGCTACAGTTTACCTTTTAATACCACAAGCATGTATAGAGTACCTACTTACTATATACCAGGCCCTGTTCTAGGCATGGTAAGCAAATCAGGTGTATTTCTGCTGTCATAGAGGTTATATCTAGTGATGTCCTGGGGAGCTTTCAAGTCTATTGCAAAAACAGATGTTCCAAAAGAGTTTTGGTCAATGATGGCATCATTGAAATAAATACATGTTAAGAGTACTATTTAAAGTGAATAGTGAATGTTTGGCAGTAAAAGCTGTGGTAAGTTCGTTAAAAATCTGTTATATTATTTAAAATTTCATCCATCCACATATAGGCATATAGACATACACATTCACACACACACATATGTATCGACATACATACATATATACATACAAGATATATAGATGTGTGTGTTTGCGTATGTGCAAATAGGAATGATTGAATTAAGTAATCTTAGCAATACTAACCATTTCCATATAGGCATTTCACTACTTTGAAGCTTTATTTTAAAGGAAGAAAGAAAACTGACAATTTTGTAGAAGATAAGAGACCAAAAAAAACCAAACCTGTTGTTGTTGAGTCGATTCCAACTCATAGTGACCCTATAGGGCAGAGGAGAACTGCCCCATAGGGTTTTGAAAGAGCGGCTGGTGGATTCAAACTGCTGACTTTTTGGTTAGCAGCCGGGCTCTTAACCACTGTGCCACTAGGGCTCTAGAAGGCAGGAGAAGATAAGGAAATAAATTGGGGAGGGGCATTCTTAGTTAGACAGGAGAAGTAGCAAGTGAAAACTTGGAGATGGATGGACCAGTTAGAATTAGGTGCATCCACAAGTGGTAGTGGTAGAGGCCACACAATAGTACAGGCTTAAACATAAGAGTTTATTTCTCTCTTTTAAAAATAATCCAGAGCTAGATATTTTAGTACTTCGCTGGCTCTTCATAACGTCAGGGACCCAGGGCTTTTTCTGCCTTATTGCTCCACCAAACTCAGCATATGACTTTCACTTCATGATCCAAGATGGCTGCTTGAGCTCCAGCCATCTCATCTGCATTCTAGCTAGTAGGAAGGAGGAAAGGTTGAAAATATAGGTTCTCTTTCCCTTTAAGGAAATTTATTGAAGGTTGCTCATAACATTTTGGCTTACATATCGTTGTTTAGCACTTAGTCACATGGACACACCTAGATCCAAGGGAAGCTGAGAATTGTCCTCTTTATTCTGGGCAGCCATGTGCCCAGATAAAAGTTAGAGATTCTATTGTTAAGGAAGAAGGGGAGAATAAATATAGGGAACAACAAAATGTCCCTACCATAATGGGAAAGGATACAAACAAGAAATGGATTAAGCATGATAATACATGGTTTTCTGACTGAATGGAATAGAGTATGCATTTGAATATACATAGAGATGTGGGCAGATAGGTGAGAATATTCAGAGCAATTCATAGAGGACATAAACAGTACAGTATTTGGAAATTTCAATTTGATATGACTAGCAACTAGGAACCATTTCAGGCTTTCGAGAACAGAAGGGATGTTTAGCTTATTACAGAATTTCACTTTCTTATTTACTCAAAACAGCTGTTGGTGAAAGATAATTCTTTTTTTTTTTTTTGTTTATTGTTGTAGTTTAAATGAAGTTTACATTTCAAGTTAGTCTCCCATACAAAAATTCATACATACATTGTTATGTGACCCTAAATGCTCTTCCCATACTGTGACAGCACACTCCTCCTTTCCACCCCTGATTCCTCATGTCCATTCAGCCAGTTCCTAACCCTCTCTGCCTTCCCATCTCACCTCCGGACAGAAGCTGCCCGTTTAGTCTCTTGTGTCTACTTGAGCTAAGAGGCACATTCCTCACGAGTATCACTTTGTGTCCCACAGTCCAGTCCAATCCCTGTCTGAAGAGTTGACCTCAGAAATTGTTCTAGTTCTGAGCTGATAGAGAATCTGGGGGCCATGCTTTCTGGGGTTCCTTCAGTCTCAGTCAGACCATTAAGTCTGGTCTTCTTACTAGAATTTGAGTTCTGCACCCTACCTTTCTCCTGCTCCATTAGGGACTCTCTGTTGTGTTCCCTGTCAGGGCGATCACTGGCGGTAGCTGGGCACCCTCTAGTTCTTCTGGTCTTAGGCTGATGAAATCTCTGGTTTATGTAGCCCTTTCCGTCTCTTGGGCTAATACTTTCCTTGTGTCTTTGGTTTTCTTCATTCTCCTTTACTCCAGGTGGGTTGGGACCAACTGATGTATCTTAGATGGCCACTTGCAGGCTTTTAAGACCCCAGCCACGACTCACCTAAGTAGGATACAGAACATTTTCTTAATAAGCTTTGTTATGCCAATTGACCTAGATGTTCCCTGAAAGCATGGTCCCCAGGCCCCTACCCCTGCTACTCTGTCCCTCAAAGTGTTTGATTGTATTCAGGAAACTTCTTAGCTTTGATTTAGTCGAGTTGTGCTGACTTCCCCTGTAGTGTGTGCTGTCCTTCCCTTCATCTAAGATAATTCTTATCTACTATCTAGTTAGTAAATAACCCTTGCCCTCCCTCCCCACCCTCGTAACCATCAAAGAATGTTTTCTTCTGTGTTAAACCTTTTCTTGAGTTCTTATAATAGAGGTCTTATACAATATTTGTCCTTCTCTGACTGACTAAATTCACTCAACATAATGCCCTCCAGATTCCTCCATGTTATGTTTCATGGCTTCATTGTTGTTCTTTATTGTTGCACAGTATTCCACTGTGTGGATATACCATAATTTGTTTATCCATTTGTCCGTTGATGGGCACCTAGGTTGTTTCCATCTTTTTGCTATTGTGAACAGTGCTGCAATGAGCATAGGTGTGCATGTATCTATTTGTGTGACGGCTCTTATTTCTCTAGGATGTATTCCAAGGAGCGGGACAGCTGGATTGTATGGTACTTC